AATGGATATTGCAACCCGAAATAACACGAATAATCTTAAGCAATACATCTATCGTCGAGCCTTTTCTAGTTTATCAAATTGCTGCTAATATGATTTATGACATTGACGAGTGATTTAACGAGAATGCTCTGGGAAAAAGTGTCAATAATATTACATTATAAAGCAAAAAACCTTGCATTCAACTTCCTCATATTGATTCTATCTCCCAGAAGTAAATGAATAGGAATCTTTGTTAGTCCTGAGTACAGTTTCAAACTGTTCAATTTATATGCCAGAAATATATTCGTCAGGAGTTGTCTCTCTCAACTTTTCAATTTTCTTAAAACGTATTTAGATATGCTCGAATGAAATTTTCTCAGTTGAAACACTACTGTTGTAAATTAGTTCTTACTAAATGAATACACCCAGTTAATAAAACATCACTCCAACTTTTTTATCGATGAAACTGTGAATAACTTGAAACCTATTATATATATATAGAAAAACGATTTCTTTTTTTTACGTTGACTACTTGAACTAATATTAGATTATGCTGATATCAATTACAGGATTGCTTTTTACAACAGTTTTTCATTAATGCTTAAATTGCACCTTCAAAATTTTGAAGTTATATAGTTTCATTAATTAACATGTTTAGTGATTTTCATTTATAAAAAACTCTTACGAATTTAGTTCAGCTTAGTAATAAATCTTTTTATATGATTTATATATTTTTTATCATTTACTGTTATGTATGATCTTTAGAATTTTATTCATTTCAAATACAATTCATGATAGATTCAACCAAAAACCATCCTCAAAAAATTGTAAGTCTGAAAATTTTGAAATTCGATTTGAGTCAAAAGAAAACATTTCACTAACACCCAAAACTAGTGTTGATAGATCAATCAAGATTGTGCTAGTTATCAGTTCGCGTACGCAAAGATATTTAACTACTTCAAAAATGACCTTCTTTTATGCAGCAATGAGTGGAGTTGATTCCATATTATCTCTGATTCCTATCAGCTCGTAGACCATACAGATATTTGACTAGTCTCGTCACAATCTTTTTTAGCAAAATTGTGCTCTTGAGATAACCTAAACTTTAGATTAAGATAGTTCTTAACTCCTATCTTGATCTTATGAATTTCAGCAAGAATGATATACATATTATCTTTTCATCACACGTTTCAAAGTGTACAACCCTTTTACCTGCTTTTAACGTGTAGCACCAGACTTAAGAACTCAGCTCCCATATGCGAAGAACGTAATTTATTGTGTAAATTAAAATGGCTAAAACGGGAAAGGTTGCACACAATGATTTGGAGTGGATCCTACATGAACTTTGACAAGGAATTTCAAAAATTTCGAGATGATATTTGAGAGAAATCAGGAGGTGCAATATTTCCATCTTCATCTATGCTTCTTTACTCCAACTCCAATAGTGGATAAGGTATTGAATAAATCCAAAGGTGGCATCCACATGATGCCCAAAATGTGTTTGAAGTATTTTAGTATTCATTCCTTTTTTTTTGTCAATACTGAAAGATATTAAAAAACCTATAGATTTCAATTTCCTGATGCGATTAACTGAGTGAGTCAATTCCCCATTCTGTACTCAATCTCTTTATAAACATCTGCTGAGTTAACATCTTAGATGCAATAATAAGTTAGGGTTTACCACCTGCAGCCTTTACATTAAAAGATTTTTCGAATCTGAGTTTTCTCCATCTACATGCAACATAGGACATTCAAGTTTAACTTATAGTATCTATGATACACATATGATATAGTATATTTAGGTTTTGTGATAGTAAAATTATATAACTAACTTTGATAGTAAACATTATTGAAAAGAGTTGTAAATGGATTCAAAAATTGCATTTATTGCACCTATTTTTCTATAATAAAGTTATTTAATTTCATTTGATCGATTATTTGAGAATTAATTTCATATACTTAAATTGGATGCTATAAGCCACTGTAAGGGGCTTACATAGTACAAAAACAATCAGAAATAACATAAAAAACTATTATATTCCAAATCGTAACTTTAATCGCTATAAAAAATCAATGAAAAAGGACTCTTTTAGTAACTTAAATCGACCAGGAATGATATGCTACTTCACAAGTAGTATTCTTCACTAACTTTCACCTTTACGAATTAAAAGTTTTTGATTTGGATCAAATGAAATTCAGAATTTTGTCAGAAATTTTATTTTTCCTACTCAAAAACAAATTACAAAGGGGAAGAATGGATTGCTATGCAGAGATTTGAGCAGAAACAATCCATCCATTGACAGACTTTTGCTTGAATACCGATCTTTAAAGAAATCCACGATTCAAGCTCATATCACTCATTCCTCACTCAAATTTTCCGACATTGACAAAAAGCTATTCAAGATATTATTTCGAAGATAAAATTGCCGGCAACACTGTGATTCATTTCGCTTCCGTACATCAAATCCTTTATTACGATGAAATACTCTTAAAATATTCTTGTTGCGTGTAAAGAGTGCGAAAACCCACAATCAACTCTTTATTGATGGATATTGATGTATGCGTTAACACTCGCTCAAAAGTGATTGACTCCTAAACTCAAAAAACTCTACTTTTGCTTTTGTTCACTTATTTCAACAAAAAAATCTTCAAAGGCAAGTACAAATTACGCTTGTTTTATATACTTTCCTTCTAGATTCATACTTTAAACGGACGAGGGAATTTCAACTGGGATAACGATTTCGAGAATCACGCTTGCTGCTCATCATGCATTCCTTTTTTTCGAGGAACCGTTCCTTTCATCTTTGATATTTTGGTCTACTCAAAGCGTCTCATAAAAATTCTACCGTGCTGGCCGAAGAAAACATAATTAACTCAATAATTACTGCTAATAATGTATCGACAAACTATTTTACAAGGAAGAGATATTTAAATAATTGCCCTTCTTAGATTATACTCAATTAAAAAGCTTGATCCAAGGGCTTTGCGCTTTATAGCAATTTTATCAATACAGACTACTACATCCAATCAAAGGACGGTTTGTCATCATATCTTCAGGTTTACCGTACAACATGATTATAACAAGAAGAAACCTGTTTTTATTTCAAAATCAGAATTTATTGAAAGTTTCTCCTGTCGAATTAAAGGAATCTGAGTTCAAATTCCATTTCTTGTGATGACACAGCGAGTTTCGAAAATGGATTTTCTTGCTATAAAATACGAAGATTTGACAAAAAATAAAACATTTAAAAATTTTTCTTTCGCCAATGCAGTGTTTCGATAAGGTTACAGAAATTATTGCGAATCGATTCCACGCAGGCTGAATAGTCTGTTTGGACTGTCTTCTTTACGTCAATGTCAAATAATCACCTGCATACAGAAAATGATCCACATATTTACGATTTAATTACAACGAAAGTGATTCCTTATCTCACATCTTGGCTTCATCAACACCAATTCTCCCCACTTATCTGAGTATTTTTCTCTCAAATAATTTTATCCGAATATTACAGTTTTTCTGAGAAAGAAGCCTCCGAAAACCCAGCAAATTCTTACGTGCTCATCAATAAAACACCCTTGCATCGTCGCACAAACACTTTTAGGCTGATTTATGATAACAAATCCCACCAAACCAATTACTTGTTCGCTGAAAATAATTGTAATTCACTCTCATTCGCGAAAACACCAATTGATTAACTCTACATTTCTTTGACCGATCCGTGCCTTCCAATCCTCTCGCAGAATGGTAATTTCTTATCTTTTGGAGTTTTATTAAATCTCCTAAGGTGAAATTGGGCCTTCAATACAATCTCATGCTCTTTTATTTCTCTCATTATGACCAATTCCGGAACAAAGAAATAATATTTTCTTCTCCAACCTTCTCAAGGATCTTTTTACTGCTTGCAACAGAGTCCAAAATTAATGAATACCGTGTTTGTGACCATTAGAAACTTATCTTCTCGCTAATGAAGCTTGAATCAATTTCAGCTGTAACGAAAGCTTTGCAAATTTGTACTCAACGTGCTCTAAATTTGATGTACCAACACAGATGAGGCAATGAATACGGTTAAAGAGCTCGGGTGGGGGGAAGGCATGTGATATTTAGCGTTTTGTTTGGACTCGTCATAAGTCCCAAATTTGGAAAGAATTGATAGGAACCACTTGAGCCATTGATGGACTTTGATTAATTTTTCAGTTGATGAATGTGCTTCACAGATGTCAGAAATCATAAATCAGGATTCTAAAATTTTTCTCATTTTACACAGTTTCCCTTCTTAATGAGCTGATTTCTATGCATCTGTCAAGGCCCTTGTAAACGTAATTTAAAATGCATATTCAACAGACAACGAAAGATTATCATGGCAAAAACTAAAACATCCACTGCATGCTCCAATTTCACTCACATTCGACTCCTCTTATTTATTATTAAAGTCCCTACATTCTTCCTGTCTTTCTTGTGCTTTTCGGAGAAGTTTCCGAGTAATTAAAATAATGTAATTAACTGTTTACACAAGCTTTCAAAGTATTCTCCTACAATTGCAGGCTATGCACGATAGTGGACTCCGATTCAATCCTTCATTAGATTACGTTTCCAAGAAGATGAAAAATTATTTTCCAAGGCACAAACGTTTCCATCAAAATGTCAGCTGATATACTCTTTGGCTCCGCTGGCTCATTACCCGCGGAGAATATCCCAGTGGTCTATCCGCGATCTGTTAAGAGGTTTCACCCATGTAAGCTTGATGTCATATATCTGCATCTCCCAAAACAAAGAAATGGCCTCACGGATCAATCTTAGTCAAGTCTCATTAACAGTGATGAGTGAGAGCTCAGTGTCAAGCACCGAAATATGAGTTCCAGCTTGCTTAACTCGCAGCCATTTGTCTTATAAATGCCGGAAGAACTCCATCGACGATTATTTATTCCAATATAAAGTATTGATCCATTTCTTACTTTGTCATCGGATCAAAGTTGACGAGTCGCATATATCAATTGTCATGAACTATTTCATCATTGCATTCATGTATGACCTCCTCACTGTTCTCATGAACTATTTCATCATTGCATTCATGTATGACCTCCTCACTGTTCTCATGAACTATTTCAACACTGTTCTCATGAACGACCTCCTTACTGTCTTTCATAAGCGTTTCAAAGTCTCCTTTACTCATTACTTCAATCTCATGCTGTTCACAGTAGTACTTAAACTCACTGTATATGTCTTTGTTGTATGTTATATTGCTTCCCATGTACTCCATGAATTTTTCAAGCACTTCCTCATAATTCACTGTTTCTTTCTTTCCACGACCTTCTAATATCATACTTGCTTCGTAAATATAACTTCTTGCAGAACCGTCTCGCTTTCTACTTCTCTTCACAAATTCTCTCATCTTGCCACCAGTTAGTATACATAACTTGGGTACGGCGGCACTGCGTTCCACCTTACCCAACTTAACCTTAAATATTTACAAAACCGTCTGACACATAAATGACTTCACTAATGACTTCACTAATGACTTCACTAACGACTTCACTAATGAAAAAATAAACGTTCTCACTAACGTTCCCACTAATGTTCTCATTTACAAAAGTATTGCAGCGCTTCCCATTGCTGTGCTTCACACAATAGTTCATATTCTTCAGTATCGCTGCTGTCACTCCAATCGTCAGAGTCAAAGTCACTGTCAAAATAAATGTTAGTAAGTTTTGACAAAGCTAATGAAACACGCTTACCGTTTGTATCTATTGCTTTTATATATCTCCCATTATGTTTGTTGTCATAAACGCTCAAACTAACTTTACCCTTTCTCCCTCGTATCTGATAGAATGTATTTTCACGAGGAACGAAGAACAAATTCTTGAACTCATGACCGTTGTAGTTTGTTATCTCAATAGTTTTCGTCATTTATATAAAAATAAACTTAAAAATAAATGATATCACCACCCTCACACGTATGAAAACATAGCACAAAAATAATGTTTATGTTAGAATGTTAGATCTAACACGTTTTCTAACCTCATTTCTAACCTCAGCCGCTAAGCGGCGAGACCCAAAGGGTCTTGAATTTTCATGATTTCTTCATCGTAATGAGTGTATATGTTTTGTCAAACATGAACGTATATGTTTTGTCAAAACTTCATCGTACATGTTTTGTCATGATTTGTCGAAACTTCTTCATCGTAATGAGCGTAAATGTTTTGTCATGACTTTTTCATCGTAATGAGTGTAAATGATCCAAAAATAATGTTTATGTTAGAATGTTAGATCTAACACGTTTTCTAACATGTTTTCTCACCTCAGCCGCTAAGCGGCGAGACCCAAAGGGTCTTGAATTTTCATGATTTCTTCATCGTAATGAGTGTAAATGTTTTGTCAAACATGAACGTAAATGTTTTGTCATGATTTCTTCATCGTCAATGGTTTGTCATGATTTCTTCATCGTATGTTCTTTGTCAAACATGAACGTCAATGTTTTGTCAAGACTTCTTCATCGTATATGTTTTGTCAAACATGAGCGTAAATGTTTTGTCATGATTTCTTCATCGTAAATGATTTGTCATGATTTCTTCATCGTAATGAGTGTAAATGTTTTGTCGAAACTTCTTCATCGTAATGAGTGTAAATGACCCAAAAATAATGTTTAGGGTAGATGGTTAGATCTAACCTCTTTTCTCACCTCTTTTCTCACCTCAGCCGCTAAGCGGCGAGACCCAAAGGGTCTTGAATTTTCATGATTTCTTCATCGTATATGCTTTGTCAAGGTTTCTTCGTATATGTTTTGTCAAACATGAGCGTAAATGTTTTGTCATGATTTCTTCATCGTAATGAGTGTAAATGATTTGTCATGACTTCTTCATCGTAATGAGCGTAAATCAGACAAAAATATATTTTAGGTGAAGTGGTGAGATCTCACCTCTTTTCTCACCTCAGCCGCTAAGCGGCGAGACCCAAAGGGTCTTGAATTTTCATGATTTCTTCATCGTATATGCTTTGTCAAGGTTTCTTCGTATATGCTTTGTCGAAACTTCTTCGTAAATGATTTGTCAAGACTTCTTCATCGTAATGAGTGTAAATGTTTTGTCATGACTTCTTCATCGTAATGAGTGTAAATGTTTTGTCATGACTTCTTCATCGTAATGAGCGTAAATCAGACAAAAATAATGTTTAGGGTAGATGGTTAGATCTAACCTCATTTCTACCCTCTTTTCTCACCTCAGCCGCTAAGCGGCGAGACCCAAAGGGTCTTGAATTTTCATGATTTCTTCATCGTATATTCTTTGTCAAACATGAACGTAAATGATTTGTCATGATTTCTTCTTCGTAAATGTTTTGTCATGATGATTTCATCGTATATGTTTTGTCATGACTTCTTCATCATAATGAGTGTAAATCAGACAAAAATATATTTTAGGTGAAGTGGTGAGATCTCACCTCTTTTCTCACCTCTTTTCTCACCTCAGCCGCTAAGCGGCGAGACCCAAAGGGTCTTGAATTTTCATGATTTCTTCATCGTATATGCTTTGTCAAGGTTTCTTCGTATATGTTTTGTCATGATTTCTTCATCGTAATGAACGTAAATGACCCAAAAATAATGTTTATGTTAGAATGTTAGATCTAACACCTTTTCTAACATGTTTTCTAACATGGAGGATTTTCATGATTTCTTCATCGTAAATGATTTGTCAAACATGAACGTAAATGATTTGTCATGATTTCTTCTTCGTAAATGTTTTGTCATGATGATTTCATCGTATATGTTTTGTCATGACTTCTTCATCGTAATGAGTGTAAATCAGACAAAAATATATTTTAGGTGAAGTGGTGAGATCTCACCTCTTTTCTCACCTCTTTTCTTACCTCAGCCGCTAAGCGGCGAGACCCAAAGGGTCTTGAATTTTCATGATTTCTTCATCGTATATGCTTTGTCAAGGTTTCTTCGTATATGTTTTGTCAAACATGAGCGTAAATGTTTTGTCATGATTTCTTCATCGTAATGAGTGTAAATGTTTTGTCAAACATGAGCGTAAATGATTTGTCAAGACTTCTTCATCGTAATGAGTGTAAATGTTTTGTCGAAACTTCATCGTACATGTTTTGTCAAGACTTCTTCATCGTAATGAGTGTAAATGTTTTGTCATGATTTCTTCATCGTAATGAGTGTAAATGTTTTGTCAAACATGAACGTAAATGACCCAAAAATAATGTTTAGGGTAGATGGTTAGATCTACCCTCATTTCTACCCTCATTTCTACCCTCAGCCGCTAAGCGGCGAGACCCAAAGGGTCTTGAATTTTCATACGGAATCTCTTCGTAAATGATTTGTCATGATTTCTTCATCGTAATGAGTGTAAATGTTTTGTCGAAACTTCATCGTAAATGTTTTGTCATGATTTCTTCATCGTAATGAACGTATATTCTTTGTCAAACATGAGCGTAAATGTTTTGTCATGATTTCTTCATCGTACATGTTTTGTCATGACTTCTTCATCGTAATGAGTGTAAATGTTTTGTCAAGACTTCTTCATCGTAATGAGCGTATATGTTTTGTCATGATTTCTTCATCGTAATGAGCGTAAATGTTTTGTCAAACATGAACGTAAATGTTTTGTCAAGACTTCTTCGTAAATGTTTTGTCATGATTTAATCGTACATGTTTTGTCGAAACTTCTTCGTATATGTTTTGTCATGACTTCTTCATCGTAATGAGCGTAAATGTTTTGTCAAACATGAGCGTAAATGATTTGTCATGATTTCTTCATCGTAATGAACGTATATGTTTTGTCATGATTTCTTCATCGTAATGAGCGTAAATGATCCAAAAATAATGTTTATGTTAGAATGTTAGATCTAACACCTTTTCTAACATGTTTTCTCACCTCATTGAATTTTCATGATTTCTTCATCGTAATGAGCGTATATGTTTTGTCATGATTTCTTCATCGTAATGAGCGTATATGTTTTGTCAAACATGAACGTATATGTTTTGTCAAACATGAACGTATATGTTTTGTCATGACTTCTTCATCGTAATGAGCGTAAATGATTTGTCATGATTTCTTCATCGTAATGAACGTAAATGTTTTGTCAAAACTTCTTCATCGTAATGAGCGTATATGTTTTGTCATGATTTCTTCGTATATGTTTTGTCATGACTTCTTCGTATATGTTTTGTCATGACTTCTTCATCGTAATGAGCGTATATGTTTTGTCAAACATGAACGTAAATGTTTTGTCAAAACTTCTTCGTAATGAGTGTAAATGATCCAAAAATAATGTTTATGTTAGAATGTTAGATCTAACACCTTTTCTAACATGTTTTCTAACATGACCTCATCGTAAATGTTTTGTTATGACCTCATGGAACTTAAACGTAAATGTTTTGTCATGACCTCATGGAACTTAAACGTAAATGTTTTGTTATGACCTCATGGAACTTAAACGTAAATGTTTTGTCATGACCTCATGGAACTTAAACGTAAATGTTTTGTCATGACCTCATGGAACTTAAACGTAAATGTTTTGTCATGATTTCTTCATTGTATATGCTTTGTCATGACCTCATGGAACTTAAACGTAAATGTTTTGTCATGATTTCTTCATCGTATATGCTTTGTCAAGGTTTCTTCGTATATGTTTTGTCATGACCTCATCGTAAATGTTTTGTCATGACCTCATCGTATATGCTTTGTCATGACCTCATGGAACTTAAACGTAAATGTTTTGTTATGACCTCATCGTAATGAGTGTAAATGACCCAAAAATAATGTTTATGTTAGAATGTTAGATCTAACACCTTTTCTAACATGTTTTCTAACATGACCTCATGGAACTTAAACGTAAATGTTTTGTCATGACCTCATGGAACTTAAACGTAAATGTTTTGTCATGACCTCATGGAACTTAAACGTAAATGTTTTGTCATGATTTCTTCATTGTATATGCTTTGTCATGACCTCATGGAACTTAAACGTAAATGTTTTGTCATGATTTCTTCATCGTATATGCTTTGTCAAGGTTTCTTCGTATATGTTTTGTCATGACCTCATCGTAAATGTTTTGTCATGACCTCATCGTATATGCTTTGTCATGACCTCATGGAACTTAAACGTAAATGTTTTGTTATGACCTCATCGTAATGAGTGTAAATGACCCAAAAATAATGTTTATGTTAGAATGTTAGATCTAACACCTTTTCTAACATGTTTTCTAACATGACCTCATGGAACTTAAACGTAAATGTTTTGTCATGACCTCATGGAACTTAAACGTATATGCTTTGTCAAGGTTTCTTCGTATATGTTTTGTCATGACCTCATCGTATATGCTTTGTCATGACTTCTTCGTAAATGTTTTGTCATGACTTCATCGTATATGTTTTGTCAAACATGAACGTATATGTTTTGTCAAGGTTTCTTCGTATATGTTTTGTCAAGGTTTCTTCGTATATGTTTTGTCAAGACTTCTTCGTATATGTTTTGTCATGATTTCTTCGTAATGAGTGTAAATGATCCAAAAATAATGTTTATGTTAGAATGTTAGATCTAACACCTTTTCTAACATGTTTTCTAACATGACCTCATGGAACTTAAACGTATATGTTTTGTCATGACCTCATGCTTAAACGTAAATGTTTTGTCATGACCTCATGGAACTTAAACGTAAATGTTTTGTCATGATTTCTTCATTGTATATGTTTGTCATGACCTCATGGAACTTAAACGTAAATGTTTTGTCATGATTCTTCATCGTATTGCTTTGTCAAGGTTTCTTCGTATATGTTTTGTCATGACCTCATCGTAAATGTTTTGTCATGACCTCATCGTATATGCTTTGTCATGACCTCATGGAACTTAAACGTAAATGTTTTGTTATGACCTCATCGTAATGAGTGTAAATGACCCAAAAATAATGTTTATGTTAGAATGTTAGATCTAACACCTTTTCTAACATGTTTTCTAACATGACCTCATGGAACTTAAACGTAAATGTTTTGTCATGACCTCATGGAACTTAAACGTATATGCTTTGTCAAGGTTTCTTCGTATATGTTTTGTCATGACCTCATCGTATATGCTTTGTCATGACTTCTTCGTAAATGTTTTGTCATGACTTCATCGTATATGTTTTGTCAAACATGAACGTATATGTTTTGTCAAGGTTTTTCGTATATGTTTTGTCAAGGTTTCTTCGTATATGTTTTGTCAAGACTTCTTCGTATATGTTTTGTCATGATTTCTTCGTAATGAGTGTAAATGATCCAAAAATAATGTTTATGTTAGAATGTTAGATCTAACACCTTTTCTAACATGTTTTCTAACATGACCTCATGGAACTTAAACGTATATGTTTTGTCATGACCTCATCGTAAATGTTTTGTCATGACCTCATGGAACTTAAACGTAAATGTTTTGTCAAACTTCTTCGTAAATGTTTTGTCATGACCTCATCGTAAATGTTTTGTCAAAACTTCTTCGTAAATGTTTTGTTATGACCTCATGGAACTTAAACGTAAATGTTTTGTCATGACCTCATCGTAAATGTTTTGTCATGACCTCATCGTAAATGTTTTGTTATGATTTCATCGTATATGTTTTGTCAAGATTTCATCGAAACTAAACGTATATGTTTTGTCATGATTTCATCATACATGTTTTGTCATGATTTCATCGTATATGCTTTGTCATGATGATTTCATCGAAACTAAACGTATATGTTTTGTCATGATTTCATCGTACATGTTTTGTCAAGGTTTCATCGTATATGTTTTGTCAAGATTTCATCGTATATGTTTTGTCAAACATGAACGTAAATGTTTTGTCATGATTTCATCGTATATGCTTTGTCATGATGATTTCATCGAAACTAAACGTATATGTTTTGTCATGATTTCATCGTACATGTTTTGTCATGATTTCATCGTAAATGTTTTGTCATGACCTCATCGTAAATGTTTTGTTATGATTTCATCGTATATGCTTTGTCATGATGATTTCATCGAAACTAAACGTATATGTTTTGTCATGATTTCATCATACATGTTTTGTCATGATTTCATCGTATATGCTTTGTCATGATGATTTCATCGAAACTAAACGTATATGTTTTGTCATGATTTCATCGTACATGTTTTGTCAAGGTTTCATCGTATATGTTTTGTCAAGATTTCATCGTATATGTTTTGTCAAGACCTCATCGTATATGTTTTGTCATGATTTCATCGTATATGCTTTGTCATGATGATTTCATCGAAACTAAACGTATATGTTTTGTCATGATTTCATCGTACATGTTTTGTCATGATTTCATCGTAAATGTTTTGTCATGACCTCATCGTAAATGTTTTGTTATGATTTCATCGTATATGTTTTGTCAAGATTTCATCGTAATGAGTGTAAATGAACCAAAAATAATGTTTACGTTCATGTTTGACAACAACACAGGAAATAAATGTTTACGTATATGTTTTGTCAAGACCTCATCGTATATGTTTTGTCATGATTTCTTCATCGTAATGAGCGTATATGTTTTGTCAAACATGAGCGTAAATGTTTTGTCAAGACTTCTTCGTATATGTTTTGTCATGACTTCTTCATCGTAATGAGCGTAAATGTTTTGTCAAACATGAGCGTATATGTTTTGTCATGACTTCTTCATCGTAATGAGCGTATATGTTTTGTCATGACTTCTTCATCGTAATGAGCGTATATGTTTTGTCATGATTTCTTCATCGTAATGAGCGTATATGTTTTGTCATGATTTCTTCGTATATGTTTTGTCATGACTTCTTCATCGTAATGAGCGTATATGCTTTGTCAAACATGAACGTTAATGTTTACGTTAATGGTTTCGTCAAACTTAAACGTATATGCTTTGTCAAACATGAACGTAAATGTTTACGTCAATGGTTTCGTCAATGGTTTCATCGTCAATGGTTTCGTCAATGGTTTCATCGTCAATGGTTTCGTCAATGGTTTCGTCAATGGTTTCATCGTTAATGGTTTCGTCAATGGTTTCATCGTCAATGGTTTCATCGTCAATGGTTTCGTCAAACTTAAACGTATATGCTTTGTCAAACATGAGCGTAAATGTTTACGTCAATGGTTTCGTCAATGGTTTCATCGTTAATGGTTTCGTCAATGGTTTCATCGTCAATGGTTTCATCGTCAATGGTTTCATCGTCAATGGTTTCGTCAAACTTAAACGTATATGCTTTGTCAAACATGAGCGTAAATGTTTACGTTAATGGTTTCGTCAATGGTTTCATCGTCAATGGTTTCGTCAATGGTTTCGTCAATGGTTTCATCGTTAATGGTTTCGTCAATGGTTTCGTCAATGGTTTCATCGTCAATGGTTTCGTCAAACTTAAACGTATATGCTTTGTCAAACATGAACGTAAATGATCCAAAAATAATGTTTAGGGTAGATGGTTAGATCTAACACCTTTTCTAACATGTTTTCTAACATGACCTCATCGTAAATGTTTTGTTATGACCTCATGGAACTTAAACGTAAATGTTTTGTCATGACCTCATGGAACTTAAACGTAAATGTTTTGTTATGACCTCATGGAACTTAAACGTAAATGTTTTGTCATGACCTCATGGAACTTAAACGTATATGTTTTGTCATGACCTCATGGAACTTAAACGTAAATGTTTTGTTATGACCTCATGGAACTTAAACGTAAATGTTTTGTCATGACCTCATGGAACTTAAACGTATATGTTTTGTCATGACCTCATGGAACTTAAACGTATATGCTTTGTCAAACATGAACGTTAATGTTTACGTCAATGGTTTCGTCAATGGTTTCATCGTCAATGGTTTCGTCAATGGTTTCATCGTCAATGGTTTCGTCAATGGTTTCATCGTCAATGGTTTCGTCAAACTTAAACGTATATGCTTTGTCAAACATGAACGTAAATGTTTACGTCAATGGTTTCGTCAATGGTTTCATCGTCAATGGTTTCGTCAATGGTTTCGTCGTCAATGGTTTCGTCAAACTTAAACGTATATGCTTTGTCAAACATGAACGTAAATGATCCAAAAATAATGTTTAGGGTAGATGGTTAGATCTACCCTCATTTCTACCCTCATGAATTTTCATACGGAATCTCTTCGTATATGTTTTGTCATGATTTCTTCATCGTAATGAGCGTATATGCTTTGTCAAACTTAAACGTATATGTTTTGTCATGACTTCTTCATCGTAATGAGCGTATATGTTTTGTCATGATTTCTTCGTATATGTTTTGTCATGACTTCTTCATCGTAATGAGCGTATATGTTTTGTCAAACATGAACGTATATGTTTTGTCATGATTTCTTCATCGTAATGAGCGTAAATGATCCAAAAATAATGTTTATGTTAGAATGTTAGATCTAACACCTTTTCTAACATGTTTTCTCACCTCATTGAATTTTCATGACTTCTTCATCGTAATGAGCGTATATGTTTTGTCAAACATGAGCGTATATGTTTTGTCAAGACTTCTTCATCGTAATGAGCGTAAATGATTTGTCATGATTTCTTCATCGTAATGAGCGTATATGTTTTGTCATGATTTCTTCATCGTAATGAGCGTAAATGATCCAAAAATAATGTTTATGTTAGAATGTTAGATCTAACACCTTTTCTAACATGTTTTCTCACCTCATTGAATTTTCATGACTTCTTCATCGTCAATGGTTTCGTCAATGGTTTCATCGTCAATGGTTTCGTCAAACTTAAACGTATATGCTTTGTCAAACATGAACGTAAATGTTTACGTCAATGGTTTCGTCAATGGTTTCATCAATGGTTTCATCGTCAATGGTTTCTTCATCGGAATGAGTGTAAATGACCCAAAAATAATGTTTATGTTAGAATGTTAGATCTAACACCTTTTCTAACATGTTTTCTAACATGGAGGATTTCATTAGATATACACATTCTTCCTTCATTTCATTCTATACACAATTTACATCATAGACGATTTAATAGATATAATACTTTACTGTTTCATTAGATATAAATATTTTTTGGTGAAAGTATCCTAAAAATATTTGATGGACTTTAACTAAAATAATGTTTAGGGAAGAATGTGTATATCTAATGAAATCCTCCATGTTAGAAAACATGTTAGAAAAGGTGTTAGATCTAACATTCTAACATAAACATTATTTTTGGGTCATTTACACTCATTCCGATGAAGAAGTCTTGACAAAACATTTACACTCATTACGATGAAGAAATCATGACAAAACATATACGCTCATTACGATGAAGAAATCATGACAAAACATATACGCTCATGTTTGACAAAACATATACGCTCATTACGATGAAGAAATCATGAAAATTCAATGAGGTGAGAAAACATGTTAGAAAAGGTGTTAGATCTAACATTCTAACATAAACATTATTTTTGGATCATTTACGCTCATTACGATGAAGAAATCATGACAAAACATATACGTTCATGTTTGACAAAACATATACGCTCATTACGATGAAGAAGTCATGACAAAACATATACGAAGAAATCATGACAAAACATATACGCTCATTACGATGAAGAAGTCATGACAAAACATATACGTTTAAGTTTGACAAAGCATATACGCTCATTACGATGAAGAAATCATGACAAAACATATACGAAGAGATTCCGTATGAAAATTCATGAGGGTAGAAATGAGGGTAGATCTAACCATCTACCCTAAACATTATTTTTGGATCATTTACGTTCATGTTTGACAAAGCATATACGTTTAAGTTTGACGAAACCATTGACGATGAAACCATTGACGAAACCATTGACGATGAAACCATTGACGAAACCATTGACGAAACCATTGACGTAAACATTTACGTTCATGTTTGACAAAGCATATACGTTTAAGTTTGACGAAACCATTGACGATGAAACCATTGACGAAACCATTGACGATGAAACCATTGACGAAACCATTGACGATGAAACCATTGACGAAACCATTGACGAAACCATTGACGTAAACATTTACGTTCATGTTTGACAAAGCATATACGTTTAAGTTTGACGAAACCATTGACGATGAAACCATTGACGAAACCATTGACGATGAAACCATTGACGAAACCATTGACGATGAAACCATTGACGTAAACATTTACGTTCATGTTTGACAAAGCATATACGCTCATTACGATGAAGAAGTCATGACAAAACATATACGAAGAAATCATGACAAAACATATACGCTCATTACGATGAAGAAATCATGACAAAACATATACGCTCATTACGATGAAGAAGTCATGACAAAACATATACGCTCATGTTTGACAAAACATTTACGCTCATTACGATGAAGAAGTCATGACAAAACATATACGAAGAAATCATGACAAAACATATACGAAGAAGTCTTGACAAAACATTTACGCTCATGTTTGACAAAACATATACGCTCATTACGATGAAGAAATCATGACAAAACATATACGATGAGGTCTTGACAAAACATATACGTAAACATTTATTTCCTGTGTTGTTGTCAAACATGAACGTAAACATTATTTTTGGTTCATTTACACTCATTACGATGAAATCTTGACAAAACATATACGATGAAATCATGACAAAACATTTACGATGAGGTCATGACAAAACATTTACGATGAAATCATGACAAAACATGTACGATGAAATCATGACAAAACATATACGTTTAGTTTCGATGAAATCATCATGACAAAGCATATACGATGAAATCATGACAAAACATTTACGTTCATGTTTGACAAAACATATACGATGAAATCTTGACAAAACATATACGATGAAACCTTGACAAAACATGTACGATGAAATCATGACAAAACATATACGTTTAGTTTCGATGAAATCATCATGACAAAGCATATACGATGAAATCATGACAAAACATGTATGATGAAATCATGACAAAACATATACGTTTAGTTTCGATGAAATCATCATGACAAAGCATATACGATGAAATCATAACAAAACATTTACGATGAGGTCATGACAAAACATTTACGATGAAATCATGACAAAACATGTACGATGAAATCATGACAAAACATATACGTTTAGTTTCGATGAAATCATCATGACAAAGCATATACGATGAAATCATGACAAAACATTTACGTTCATGTTTGACAAAACATATACGATGAAATCTTGACAAAACATATACGATGAAACCTTGACAAAACATGTACGATGAAATCATGACAAAACATATACGTTTAGTTTCGATGAAATCATCATGACAAAGCATATACGATGAAATCATGACAAAACATGTATGATGAAATCATGACAAAACATATACGTTTAGTTTCGATGAAATCTTGACAAAACATATACGATGAAATCATAACAAAACATTTACGATGAGGTCATGACAAAACATTTACGATGAGGTCATGACAAAACATTTACGTTTAAGTTCCATGAGGTCATAACAAAACATTTACGAAGAAGTTTTGACAAAACATTTACGATGAGGTCATGACAAAACATTTACGAAGAAGTTTTGACAAAACATTTACGTTTAAGTTCCATGAGGTCATGACAAAACATTTACGATGAGGTCATGACAAAACATATACGTTTAAGTTCCATGAGGTCATGTTAGAAAACATGTTAGAAAAGGTGTTAGATCTAACATTCTAACATAAACATTATTTTTGGATCATTTACACTCATTACGAAGAAATCATGACAAAACATATACGAAGAAGTCTTGACAAAACATATACGAAGAAACCTTGACAAAACATATACGAAGAAACCTTGACAAAACATATACGTTCATGTTTGACAAAACATATACGATGAAGTCATGACAAAACATTTACGATGAGGTCATGACAAAACATTTACGTTTAAGTTCCATGAGGTCATAACAAAACATTTACGAAGAAGTTTTGACAAAACATTTACGATGAGGTCATGACAAAACATTTACGAAGAAGTTTTGACAAAACATTTACGTTTAAGTTCCATGAGGTCATGACAAAACATTTACGATGAGGTCATGACAAAACATATACGTTTAAGTTCCATGAGGTCATGTTAGAAAACATGTTAGAAAAGGTGTTAGATCTAACATTCTAACATAAACATTATTTTTGGATCATTTACACTCATTACGAAGAAATCATGACAAAACATATACGAAGAAGTCTTGACAAAACATATACGAAGAAACCTTGACAAAACATATACGAAGAAACCTTGACAAAACATATACGTTCATGTTTGACAAAACATATACGATGAAGTCATGACAAAACATTTACGAAGAAGTCATGACAAAGCATATACGATGAGGTCATGACAAAACATATACGAAGAAACCTTGACAAAGCATATACGTTTAAGTTCCATGAGGTCATGACAAAACATTTACGTTTAAGTTCCATGAGGTCATGTTAGAAAACATGTTAGAAAAGGTGTTAGATCTAACATTCTAACATAAACATTATTTTTGGGTCATTTACACTCATTACGATGAGGTCATAACAAAACATTTACGTTTAAGTTCCATGAGGTCATGACAAAGCATATACGATGAGGTCATGACAAAACATTTACGATGAGGTCATGACAAAACATATACGAAGAAACCTTGACAAAGCATATACGATGAAGAAATCATGACAAAACATTTACGTTTAAGTTCCATGAGGTCATGACAAAGCATATACAATGAAGAAATCATGACAAAACATATACGTTTAAGTTCCATGAGGTCATGACAAAACATTTACGTTTAAGTTCCATGAGGTCATGACAAAACATATACGTTTAAGTTCCATGAGGTCATAACAAAACATTTACGTTTAAGTTCCATGAGGTCATGACAAAACATTTACGTTTAAGTTCCATGAGGTCATAACAAAACATTTACGATGAGGTCATGTTAGAAAACATGTTAGAAAAGGTGTTAGATCTAACATTCTAACATAAACATTATTTTTGGATCATTTACACTCATTACGAAGAAGTTTTGACAAAACATTTACGTTCATGTTTGACAAAACATATACGCTCATTACGATGAAGAAGTCATGACAAAACATATACGAAGAAGTCATGACAAAACATATACGAAGAAATCATGACAAAACATATACGCTCATTACGATGAAGAAGTTTTGACAAAACATTTACGTTCATTACGATGAAGAAATCATGACAAATCATTTACGCTCATTACGATGAAGAAGTCATGACAAAACATATACGTTCATGTTTGACAAAACATATACGTTCATGTTTGACAAAACATATACGCTCATTACGATGAAGAAATCATGACAAAACATATACGCTCATTACGATGAAGAAATCATGAAAATTCAATGAGGTGAGAAAACATGTTAGAAAAGGTGTTAGATCTAACATTCTAACATAAACATTATTTTTGGATCATTTACGCTCATTACGATGAAGAAATCATGACAAAACATATACGTTCATTACGATGAAGAAATCATGACAAATCATTTACGCTCATGTTTGACAAAACATTTACGCTCATTACGATGAAGAAGTCATGACAAAACATATACGAAGAAGTTTCGACAAAACATGTACGATTAAATCATGACAAAACATTTACGAAGAAGTCTTGACAAAACATTTACGTTCATGTTTGACAAAACATTTACGCTCATTACGATGAAGAAATCATGACAAAACATATACGCTCATTACGATGAAGAAGTCTTGACAAAACATTTACACTCATTACGATGAAGAAGTCATGACAAAACATGTACGATGAAGAAATCATGACAAAACATTTACGCTCATGTTTGACAAAGAATATACGTTCATTACGATGAAGAAATCATGACAAAACATTTACGATGAAGTTTCGACAAAACATTTACACTCATTACGATGAAGAAATCATGACAAATCATTTACGAAGAGATTCCGTATGAAAATTCAAGACCCTTTGGGTCTCGCCGCTTAGCGGCTGAGGGTAGAAATGAGGGTAGATCTAACCATCTACCCTAAACATTATTTTTGGGTCATTTACGTTCATGTTTGACAAAACATTTACGCTCATTACGATGAAGAAATCATGACAAAACATATACGCTCATTACGATGAAGAAGTCTTGACAAAACATGTACGATGAAGTTTCGACAAAACATTTACACTCATTACGATGAAGAAGTCTTGACAAATCATTTACGCTCATGTTTGACAAAACATTTACACTCATTACGATGAAGAAATCATGACAAAACATATACGAAGAAACCTTGACAAAGCATATACGATGAAGAAATCATGAAAATTCAAGACCCTTTGGGTCTCGCCGCTTAGCGGCTGAGGTGAGAAAAGAGGTGAGAAAAGAGGTGAGATCTCACCACTTCACCTAAAATATATTTTTGTCTGATTTACACTCATTACGATGAAGAAGTCATGACAAAACATATACGATGAAATCATCATGACAAAACATTTACGAAGAAGAAATCATGACAAATCATTTACGTTCATGTTTGACAAAGAATATACGATGAAGAAATCATGAAAATTCAAGACCCTTTGGGTCTCGCCGCTTAGCGGCTGAGGTGAGAAAAGAGGGTAGAAATGAGGTTAGATCTAACCATCTACCCTAAACATTATTTTTGTCTGATTTACGCTCATTACGATGAAGAAGTCATGACAAAACATTTACACTCATTACGATGAAGAAGTCATGACAAAACATTTACACTCATTCCGATGAAGTTTCGACAAAACATTTACACTCATTACGATGAAGAAGTCTTGACAAATCATTTACGAAGAAGTTTCGACAAAGCATATACGAAGAAACCTTGACAAAGCATATACGATGAAGAAATCATGAAAATTCAAGACCCTTTGGGTCTCGCCGCTTAGCGGCTGAGGTGAGAAAAGAGGTGAGAAAAGAGGTGAGATC